CAATAGCGAATACTTTTTTTTTTGGATTTAACTGGATTCAATTGGATACAATTGGATTGAAAACTGCATTTCCTATTCCAAATTTTGAATTGAACAATATTCACAATGCACAGAAAAAGCTGATATTATTTTTAGATTGAAAGGCATAGAAATATGCTCCATGCAATTCCTATAAATAAATAAAAATGCATTCAGGATTGAAGAGCATTCATTTTAACATTCGTCAATATTTTTGAAAATCTGAATCCATCTCAATTCATTTCAATCCATTCTCGTTGGGGTTTAATTTGCATCAACCACTGAGCTAGTAGTTGACCATGATCTTCGACAAATGACAGGAGCTATTTAAATATTTTAAAAAGCTTTTTCTTTCTGACGCGTTTTAAGCTGGTGATGTACTGTCAACTACATATCGTACTGATAATGAGACAAAAGCATACGAAAATAGTCCAATCGCATATCAAATTTAAAAGAAGCCCTAAGATGTGTTCCGTTTCCCGCATGAGCATATATCATTTTATTTTTGTTGTTCATCAAATATTAAAAAAAAAAGATAAAATGATACATCATGCGCATCATGCGTGAAACGGAACGCATCCCTAATTGTTCTCTATTATGTGCAATTTATAAGAACAGATGATTGGTCGAGATCGAACAGATCTCGAATTTTACAGTAGCTCAGTAGCTAGCATTATCGTTCCATTCCACGTTCCACCTCATTTCACCAGCTAGCAGCAGAGCAACTAGGTACTGCAGCTACCTCTGTTTTAAAAATTGATTGTCATTTCAGCGGTTCAGCCATTCAACCTGATTCAACTGAATGCTTGTTCGCGAATGTAATGTCCTGTGAATAGGCTCTCATCAATCGTGGACCGAAAGTGATGATAAGAGAGCACCCGCAGTAATGGCATCGGCATTGGAGCAGTTTGTAAATAACGTTCGAACGCTTTCGAAGCAAGGTATGACCGACTTCTAGTTATGTATTGTGAAAGCGTGGAACTTAACCTCAAAACGCAAAAGCAAAAAGGGAAACAAATCTTAAAAGCATTTCCAATGTAGAGAACTTCTTAAAAAAAAAATGCTTGAATTTTTAAAATTTGCTTCGTGTATTTAATAATAATAATAATAATAATAGCTTAGATAACACATTTAGACAAACGAATTTTTATTTCGTTACCACTATATAACCTACTTGCATATACAGGCAATTTTAGAGAATTATATGACATCATAAGCAAAAGCGTCGAAGTATTAACAAAGAATGGACAACACTTGGACAACGTTTTGGAAACATTAGATCTACAACAACATTCGTTAGGTATCTTGGCAGTGCTCTGCGCAAAATTTTCATTGCCTAATCCCAACGGTGGAAATAATCCTGATGCACATAAACTCTTGTTCAATCAGGTTCAAGAGTTTATTGTTGGCTGTAATGGAGAGCAAGTTAGATTTGCACCAGATACATGTAAGTATATAAAGTCTTTTGTTATGATTTCGTTGACAGTGATTTCATTGAAACAAATCAATTGATTTATTATCCCATATATGTAACAAGTTTGATTTAACTTAGAAATTGTTTGTCAATTTACACTTGCTTCTTCCAATTTTTTGCCCATTAATTTTTCCATCTATTAAAAAAGCAAGCATCTTCTTTAAAATCTTTTTGAAAATTATTTTTGTATCAACAAATTTTATTCAAAGAAATATTAAAAAATTGAGTTATACATAAATTTGTATAATTTAATTTTGAATAAATTACGTGCATTTTATAATTATAAATTCTAATTTAAATCCAAAATTGGCAAAAACGAGTATTTGTTATATTTATTTACAACATTACATGTTGATATTAAATGTTTACATCACAATAAATACATACATTTATTTTATCAAAATTTTTAGTTGATGTTAAATTCTTCAATTATATCAATGATATTCGTCTAGTTTATTGTCCAATTATATTTATTCTTTATCTCATTTATATGCAATATTAATAATTCTTCTTATAGACGCAGACTTATGTCACCTGTTTACACAGAGTTTAGTCGAGTCCAAAATGCCATTACGTGGAATCCAATTGTTATGCCGTGCAATACGCAAAATACAACTTTTTGACAGTCAGCTGACCTCAATACACGCAGACCTTTGTCAATTATGTCTTCTGTCCAAATGTTTTAAACCAGCACTCGAATTTCTCGACATAGATGTCACAGGCATTAGTCAGGAAGGAGGCCAATTTGATTCAAAATATTTCCTATTGTATTATTATTATGGTGGCATGATATATACAGCATTAAAGAATTATGATCGGGCATTGTATTTTTTTGAAGTATGTGTGACGACGCCCGCGATGGCAGTTAGCTACATCATGCTGGAGGCCTACAAAAAGTACATTTTGATCTCGCTGATATTACATGGGAAAGTATTAAATTTACCGAGATATACGAGTCAGGTGATCAACAGATACATCAAACCATTAAGCCAACAATATCAAGAATTGGCTACAGCTTACTTAATTAATAGTTGTGAAGAAGTACAGAGCATTATTACTAAATATCAGCAAGTATTTGTGAGGGATCATAACCTAGGACTCGTAAAACAAGTGCTTGCTTACTTGTATAAGAAAAATATACAGAGGCTGACCAAGACTTTCCTAACGCTTAGTTTAAGTGACGTTGCGAGCAGAGTTCAATTATCGGGTCCCGTTGAAGCGGAAAAATATATTTTAAATATGGTGAGTTTCTATTATATGCCATCGTATACTATATAATAAATATCTAAAAATCAATAATTTTTCAAGTCAAATTCTTCGATAAATTTAGTATTTTTCTCTCTTGTATATATGTGTAATTGCATATATACAAGTTGATTGGTATAAATATAAATATATTCTTCTTTTTTCTTAAAAAAAAAAAACTTAAAATAAAGTAAATGATAACGTTAGTAAAATTTATTTTTTACTTAGTCATTTTTCTTTAGTCACAAATAAAGAGTCAATCTATAAAGTAATAAATAAAAATTCGTTTTTAAATTTAAATTTAGCTAATACTGTAGAGCTACACACAATGTCTGTAAAATACAAATTGATATTGTTCATTAGCGAGTTGTATTTTTTAGATTGAAGATGGCGAAATTTTTGCGACTATTAATCAAAAGGATGGTATGGTAGTATTTCATGACGATCCTGAAAAATATAATTCACCACAAATGCTTGCAAATTTTGAGAAGGAAATGGCAGCATGCACAGAATTAGACAAACGAGTACTAGAGATGGAGGAAGAGGTTGTCCTTACCCCGCAATATGTTCGCAAAGCTTGCGGACAAAACGATCAGGATGATCAAGCCGCTGGACCTGCACCGACAAATGTCACAAATGCGCAAGGTCAAATTAAACAAAACACCTACTCTATGTAACATATACATGTCGTTGTGTGTTATCTTTATTAAAAAAATAATAAGAAATCACGAAAAATCTTGTTGAGAGTCAAGACTTTAATATCTGAAAGCTTGTTTTTTGAACGATGATAGTAATTAGAAAAATATTTTCGCGACTTGAGTGTCGCCTATTTTATAAACAATTTATGAATACGAGTTCGTTTATATATAGGTTCTACATATAAGTTGAATTATAAGTTATGAATGATATATGTACATATACGTTACAGAGATATTATTTTATTATTATTATTATTATTTTACAATCATATAAATTAATGTGAAAATACTCTACTATTATATTAATTATATACAATTACATACAATATTATATTAATTATATACAATTACAATTTATATCTTTACG